GTAAGTAGCGTGCATCAGTGAATATATCGGACCGTCCGTGACACAATAAATCTGAAATGTTCTTGCGAGATGCGAAGTTTTTGTCAAAGAAAATACGTGGCAACTCACGCTTTCGATTATATAGCCAGCGGAGTACACATATCAGCTTCGCGAGATTTTCTGCAGCCAAGTTGGATAATTAAATAGTGTTGTCTAACCTTTGCAGTTGAAACTCACCTTGTTTTGCGTGCGTACAGCATTTATCAGTGCTTTTGTAGTGCATGAATCCTATAACATTCATTGCAAGCAGAAAGTAGTGCAGGCTCACGGTTTGCGCTTCCAAACCTTAGCCTACACTGTGCCGCTTGTTCTTTATGTTCGTTGATAGATGGCAACACACTGCAAGCGATTCCTTTCTTGGCTGGTATCGGAGCCACTGTTGGAGCAAAATGTTCTCTGCATCCCCAGATAAACGTGGTGAGCGACGCCGTGTTGGGTCTGTGCAATGACGCGTTGTTGGTGCAATCGAAGTCATTCGGCAGAGAAAATGCTTCAGATTATTTTCAGCAGTATTGTTCTAATACACCGTCTTGACGTCGAGAATTTTTCACTGGACACAGATAGTTGTCAATGCGCTGAGAGTGACAGCGATGATGAACGATCAGCTGCTAGCTCATGAGCAGCGAGTTGCACTTCCCATCCCATCGCACGTTAATGGTTTTTTTTTCATGCTCGTAAGTCCCTTTGATTGTATTCATTGTATAATATCCTTCAGCAAGCTCAAAATAAGAAAAAAACAGTTGTTCTTGAGCACTGCATGTAGCCCAATTACAGTGAATATTATAAAATGCCGCATGCCGCCAATACACTCGAGCTCGACGAACAAAGGCGAAATGGTTAGAGCAATGAAATATGCAGTTAGGACTACAGTGCACCCTAACTTTTCCGGCACTTCACCGGTGCCGTTCGAACGACGTTGTTGTTCGACAAATTTTCACGATTTTGACGTTGAAAAAAGCATACGCATGTTTGGATACCTTTGCTTCGATCGCGCTGATGGAACCTGCAAAATCCGAGTGCAGCAAATTGTGCACTGTTGGAGTCTGATCATGGCTGTGACACAAGCACTGCTTAATGGGAAGGTAAATGCGTGTGTTCCGTTGAAGAAGCAGCTGCATGATGTTTAAAGTGCAAGTAATGGGGACGGTGTAATATGTTTCGAAACCATCGCTACGGTAAACATTCAGTCCTGTGCAGCCGCGACAGCGCACTACTCGCTAGTGGCCTACTACTGCAGCAAATTCGCCAGGCAGGCTTGGCACAAATTATCTCGGAGTGCTGCTCAGTTCATACGAGAATTCTAGATCGTGGAGTTTTCTGTAGCACGCATGGGATTATGCAAAGCATGGTTGATACACGGTCGTCTGCTAACGCCACCACCCTTCGCACTGCGGTAAGAGCGATGTAGCGAACATTAAGCAGTTCCTATAGTTTTGAAAAGTACTTTGGTCTGATTTACATTCATTTATGATCAAGAGTTCATCTGGTGAAAGCAATACAGGGAGTACGTGCGGCCTTCCTATCTTTTCCTATGATAGTTCATGGGTTGATCATCTCTCCACAGCTATCTTGGATTGCACGGCGCGCCATCTATAGGCCGTGGGCATTGAGAATAGTGCGAGAACAGAATGAAGACATGGGAACACGAAATAGACGAGCGCTAACTTCCAGACATGCAAGACGTCGTTGAAGGCGACCAGCACCTATTGATCAGCCTCGAAATTCGCGTTGCCAGAGGAATAGCCGTGCAGCGAGAAGGGAATGCAAGGGAGGTGCTCACGAACTTCAGCAGTGAGTACAAGCACGTGAGCAAAGGCACGGCGGTTGCATACTTCGAAGAGATACTGGAAGCCAGCAACTCTTTCACGATCACCGATTCTGCTGAATTTACTCCAACAAAACAACTCAAGCCCTCCAAACAGCTTTCGATGTTAATCCGAGCGTTCCGACACATAAGCAAGAACAGCTCAGAAACCTGGTTCTAAAATACAAGAACTGCTTTTCGTCGGCAAGAATTCGACAGACCCCTGTTGCAAAATATGGAATCATAACATAAGAAAATGCCAGGCCACTCCGCCAGAGCCCGTACACAGATTCGACGCGAGAACGCGAGGCTATACAGAAACAAGTGGACAAAATGCTACGGGATGACATTATTTAGCCTCTAAAAAGACCATGGGCATTACCGGTGGTGTTAGTGGAGAAAAAGTATGGAACACTACGCTTTTGTGTTGACTATTGGCGCCTCAATAAAATCACGAAGAAGGACGTATACCCTCTCCCCCGAATAGATGACGCCCTTGACCGACACCCCAACGCGAAATACTTTTCATCGATGGACTTCAAGACAGGCTACTGGCGAATTGAAGTAGACGAGCGAGACCAAGAAAAGACTACCTTCATTATACCAGACAGCCTCTTCGAGTTCATGGTCATGCCCTTTGGTCTTTGCTCGGCGCCTGCGACGTTCCAGCATGTTACGGACACCGTGATGACCGGATTGAAGTGGCAGACTTGCCTCGTGTACTTGGACAATGTCGTTGTGTTTTCCTCAAGCTTCGACAACATCTCAGGCGCCTTGAAGCTGTACTTCAAGCAATCAAGACCTCCAGACTCACTCTGAAGCCGGAAAAGTTCCGCTTTGCATATGAGGAACTCTTGTTCTTGGGACATGCGATAAGCAAGTCAGGAGCACGCCCCAGCCCACAGAAGACAACAGCCATCGCTGCATTCCCGCCACCCATTAACAAAAACGCCGCACGTCGATTTCTCGGCCCGTGTATCTATTAAAGGGGTTTCGTAAAAACTTTCGCCTGCACTCAATAGCCTTACAAAGACCGATGTCGAGTTCAAGTGGGAAACCACGCAGGAGGAAGCATTTCAAGAACTGAAACCACGCCTGCAGATACCCCCAATACTTCTGCATTTCGAAGTCGATGTCAACAAGGAAATCCCCACCACTGCAAGCAGTGTAGGGCTCAGAGCCGTCCTGGAGCAGAAGATTGATGGGCTTGAAAGGGTCATTGATTATACGAGCTGGTCGCTATCTAATGTCCTGCATCACGGAGCTCCACAGGTCCTCCTTACTGAAAGCGGTACGACCTTTACGACGGACGAAACTCAGGCGATCCTGAGGTACAGCAGAAAGTCATCGCCGGACCACGGCCTACCATTCACAGACCAAAGTTCTCACCGAACGTCTTAATAAGACCATCGCTGATATGCTGGTCATGTACGTTGCGTCGAGCAAAAGACATGGGATGATATCCTTCTGTACAAGACCTTCGCGCACAATACGGCTGTCCAAAAAACCACGTAGATCACCCCGTTCAAGTCGGCCTATGAAAGGAGCCCGGCAACAACGCTTGACACTTTCAAACGTTGCTGATGAAGAGAACCTCGACGTCACCGCCTACCTTCGGCGTGCTGCAGAAGCTTGGTAACTCACCCGCCTCAGCATCAAGTATCAGCAGGCGACTGACAGCCGCCGTTACAATCTTCGACGAAGGTTCGTGGAGTACCAGCCTGGGGACTGTGTCTGGGAATTGACGCTGATACGCCGACATGGGCTCAGTGAAAAACTTCTGTGACGTTACTTTGGACCATACAGAGTAGTTCAGGGTCTCGGCCCACTCGACTTTGAGGTTGTTCCGGATGGCATTATGAACTCTCAACGGCGTGGTACTCAACCTGGAGTCGTCCAAGTCGTGCGCCTCAAGCCATTTCATGTGCGAAATTGAGGACTATTTTGTTGTTGTTGCTGCACTTTATTGCTTGTACTTATTGTTTATTTTCTTTATTATTGTACTTTCGTTTGTTAAAGCATTAAAACGATGCTTTTTTTCAGAGGGGGGCAATGCCACGTTCTCACCTCATGTTTTGTCATCACCCCGTTTTACTGTCAGTAATTCTCAGCGCTAACTACGCTGACACTGTTCGAGAAGCTTCGGGACGACAGTAGATCATTTTGTTAAAATTACGCCCACTTCGTGAACAGTACAGCTTATTCTGAAACCTACGTCGCAGCTAGCGATAACGTTACAATATTTGATGGCAAGTGTATAATTACTGACACGCCTTGCTGCTTGTGAGTTGATCGACGGCCGACGCACTGTTCACGCTATCAGTGCCAGTGTCTTACTTTCCTTTCACGTGGCCACTTGAAGTCTGCTCCGTTTTGTCACGTCACGAAATTGTGACAATATATCACATATCATAAAGAAAAAGGGACACATTTGTCATGACCGAACTAACTGCACAACATTTCTCGAAAATTCATACAAGGCAATAATTTAGTTTTTACCGCTAAATGAATGTCTTGGTGGTCTCTGACTTCAGTTCCCCTTTTGTTTAATTTGTGCGTTTATTTTCCGAATTTTCGTACCGTACCCTTATATAATAAAATATTCATAACAAACATTTTGGAAATTCATTTCATTATATCTAGGTTTTAACTGTATGTTAACAGTTAAAACACGAATATTATGATTGTGATAATCGTGTGAAAACACGATTTGAACACGAATATTATGATTGTGATAATCGACGAATCTTTGGAACTTCTGAATATTCGCACACCCTTAATGATCACTTATTGGAAAACAGCACACAAGTACACATAACGTTTAGAAGTTTCATTTGAAATTCCAAGACCCATGTAGTGCGTGGCTATAGTTGTATGTATAGCACTCTCCGCATACAAGGTGGGCTTGCTATGTGGGGAGTGACAAATAGCCAGCGAAAATAAGACGACAAAGATTTGGTTGTGGGGCCAAGTCTTTAGCTGCCCTGTTGCTATGAAAACGTGTGCACTCTGTGCAGCGCTAGCTCAACTTGTGCTAACTGGCGACTGTTGAAGAAACACAACACCAGCCAGCAGTGTGCATATAACAGCAAAAGTTGCCATTTTCTCCAGAGTTGATGCAACTGTTAATACTGGTGGCATTTATTATGCTGCTCACTTTGGCATCCTCCACCAGGTTGGTAATCATGACGATGGCTGGGGCCCGCTCCTGCCACACCATGGCCCAGAAGTCGGCCACCGTGTGGGCTAGGGGTCCCTGGGTAGCAATGTAGGCTTGTGGCTTGCCCCCGTAGCCACTCAGGTAGTTGGCATTGATGTACTCTTCTTCCACACCGTGACGCAGTCGCACTCGGCTGTGTTCATCTGCGCACGTCCCCAAAACACTTTTGTCAGCCACATGTGACGCAGACACAGTCAGACCTCACACTTGACGTTACAACAATGCTGGGATGAACAGCGCAGGCTAAGTAAGCTGAGAAAGTCTTCGAGTTGCCACTCGGTCATAATGTAAGAATCACATGATCCCAGGAAGTGAAACATGAAAAGCAGTAAATGGCAGACCAGTGAGTGCTCAGATGCTGGTGGGCCACAAGTAGCAGAAGGGGCGTGATAGGCAGGGCAGCGTCCCTTACCGCACTGTGGGGATGCAAAGCTGCTTGAGTTCAGGAAGACAAGCAAATGGCCACGACCAAGGCCTCACTGTCATCAAGTGCTGGACTTGAGAAAGCCAGGTACAGCAGACTCTCGATAATTCAAAAAACTTTTAAACTGCTATGTTTTCAATGTACATTAAAGTCAATCAATTCAAACTTCTAGAGTGGTTAAGTTCGGACAATGCATACTTTTCACCCCCTAGTCCATTCCTCAATATATCTACCGTATTTACTCGATTCTACCGCGCCCTCGATTGTAACGCGCACCCGATTTCCACCGCGAAAAAAAAAACAAAAAACGTAAGACATCGATTGCAACGCGCACCCATTTTTTTTTTTTTTTGCTGGCCCGCACGATCACACCACTCGAAAAAACGATTCCTTTCGGGATTGTCTTCCATTTATATATGAGGTACGGGCGAAGCTTGTGCCCATCTGACGTGTAACAGAGCATTGCCGTCACTGTAGTTTTACCGTGGACCGATGTCAGCACGCGAACTTGCTTCGCCCCCTTCTCGACAGTTGTGGTGCCAGGCATGTCGAAGTAAAGAGGCGTCTGATCGGCATTCCAGATTTGCCCAAGCAGGTAGCCGTTGTTGCGCCGCAAGTTTAGGACGAACCTCTGAAAACTGTAAAGCTTTTCATCGTACTTCTCCGCAAAAGTTTTCGCATATGCATGTTCCCCTTCGGAGGGAAGAGCCTTTCCTCTTCATATAGTTAATTAGCCAGCACCTGCTCGCTTTAAACAGGCTCCGCATTAGACTTTTTTCTAAGACTAATTGCATAGCCCGCACTTGGAGCAGTTCTGTCGTCATGGGCCGCTGTGCCACTCGCTCCTCAAGCACATACTCGCGGAGCAGCTCTTCAATTTGCGGAAACCGACCCTGCTGTGGTTCACTGAAGCCTTTGCGTGAAGCTTTGCTGTCGACAATCTTCTGCTTTTGCTTCCGCCGGTCCCGCACGCACGTTTCGAGAAGGACCGCGATGCGGCCCGATTTCCGTCCGATTCTGCACACGCGATGACTTTTCTTTTAAAAGCGGCATCGTGGTGCACTCGAGTTTTTGGAGTCGGCCCTTCCACGTCGTCGATGCTAATGCACTACTAGATGACGAACTCCTCAGCACACGTACGAAGTGCCGCACATGGTAAACACATAGGCAGAAATAGCCGACGCACCATGCCGACGCCCGTAGGGGGCGGCCATTTTGGATTTGCGATGGCAATAGATTGACCGTAATTTTTTTGTTCGTACTCGATTCTAACGCGCATGCGATTTATGAACTCGCTTAACCGGAAAAAAGGTGCGCGTTAGATTCGAGTAAATACGGTATTGCCTCTGTCCCGTCTAGCTGAACATTGACCTCTTTATGTTACTAGCAGTCACAAATAAAGCTGAATACCCACCTGCAAACAAACCAAACTGTGCAAACTGACAATCACATGTCTACTGAGAAAGAGGGGATAGTTTGGTGTTCACTGATCTCGTGCTAGCCTAATTCACCACAGTACACAAGTGTGATGCGGAAAAGTACACTCTGAGAACGAGCTACCAGCGGTCACAAAATATTGTGCACACTGTCCCTAAATTACGTATGTGTGCACATGCTGTATAGTTATGAGTACCAGTATGATTGCAGACATCTTAAATCTTACTTAAATCTTTACAGCCCAGCATGCAGAGCTGTCTATGACAGTGCTACAGCTCTCAGAAACAATACCCTCATAGTTGATTGATTGATTGATTGATATGGGGGGTTTAACATCCCAAAACCACCATATGATTATGAGAGACGCCGTAGTGGAGGGCTATGAAAATTTCGACCACCTGGAGATTTCTAACGGGCACCCAAACCTGGGCACATGGGCCCACAGCATTTATGCCTCCATTGAAAATGCAGCCGCTGCAACCAGGACTCCATCCCGCGACCTGTGGGTCAGCAACCGAGTATCTTAGCCACTAAACTACTGTAGTTTACAAGTGTGTAGGCTTAGGCTTATTGGTCTCGAATCAGAAGTGTTCTTTTCAGCTCTGTCCCATTTTTCCCCATGTTCTCACGCTGTGAAATTCGTCATCACAATAGCTTTGGCTTGGAGCTATCGAAAGCCTTCTGTATTAACCCTTTTGTGACCAAAATAAAAAAAGAAAAACCTTCCAAAATTATTGCAAAAAAAGTTTTTTCTCACTTTCTTCAACTATTTTCTTGCTTAAAACGGTACCATTCTTTCAATTCCATGGATTCCCGTTATTTCACTCATAGCATAAAAAAGGTGGCTTCACCGTATGGCATTACAATTAAAGATGGCAATAATAAAATAAAAGCCGAGAGACAAACAACTCGATGTGGCCCAGTGTGGCCATCAAGAGACACAAGCATGAGCAGTATAGTTATCATCGGTTCCCCACTGAGGGACCAATTTTTGCTGATGGTACAGTCGCCATCGTTCATTTTGTTAGAAAATCGCATGACTGTATTAGTCAACAGTTGTAAGAGAATTCATGCTTGGGTGATGCACTAAGCAGCTTTTCTCAGTGTATCGCACTTCCCATTATTAAACGTAGCCCAAGAGACACAGACGGGAGAGCACAAACATGACCAGTAGCATTGTGTTTGTGCTCTCCCAGCTATGTCTTTTTTTTTTGCATTACGTTTAATAATGAGACATTACCAACTTTCTCAGCAAGAGAACCTTCTGTACTTCCCCTTCTCCATGACCTTTGACCCACTGTCAGCCAGTCTCATTGCCAAACAGCACAGGCTCTGATGCCCCTGCAGCCTACTCTCTTTCGGTGCCAGAGCTGCACAGGCACCCGTCCTCGTGATCTCATCGTTTTGTGTCCCGTGTGTTTTGCGCTGTTCTCAACTATGAACCCACACCAACTTGCCCAAATGTCAGTGCTACTGATTGACAAGTGCTTAGAGTAATGCCATTCCTGATGCCCGGCACACATCACACAGCACATCTGGAAGTTTGATTAGTGTCTCCTACATGACCATCTGACAGCATGGTCGAACTTACGTGTGCATCAAAGTGCACACAGAATCACCGACTACTTGCGCTCACTCAGCCTTTTCATTCTTTACATATTGCCTGCAAGAATACCGTCGACGTGCTGAGCTGCACAGACACCACCATGGACGGGGTAACTAAAGTAGATAATGGGTACTCTAGAAGATTGTCCACCTCTCTTGCAAGTGGCCAGAATTGATAAAGAACCTGTAAGCTCCATCAGCAAGGAGTTATCACTGGGCATAACTAGCGTAAGCTCTGGCTCTTGATGCATTACGAACTTGAAGACGGGGCTACCACTGAATACACAGAGAAGGCGTTAGACACGGACGCCATTAGCTAGTGCATTCTTGAAAGCAAAATACAGAGATGAATCACATCACCATCTCGACATCCCCATTTTCTTCTCCCAAGCTGTGTCTAGGAAAATAATCTTTTGCAGGAATGAATGTTGAAAATATATTCCTCTACATTAGCACTTTTTTTTTGCAATTTTTTGCGTGACGTAAGGAATGTGCCAAGGCTCATCAAAGATACCAAACTTTTTTTATTTTGGCTGAGTTTGCCTATTTTTCAGAATTTTTTGAGTTCTGCAGACAGCTTAAAAAGGCCCTAAAACAATTTTTCAGGTAACCATGGAATGAATTCATTGAAAGAGCTTATTGCCTCCCAAATTCAATGCCACGAAAATTCCAAGAATCCATCCAGTACGAGTAGAGTCACAAAGATATGTTGCACGCTGCAATTGCATTCTCTTTTCTCTCCTCCTGACAAAAGCACTTGAAGTTAAGCAGGGAGGGATGGCAGGGGCAAATAAAATACGTAATGCACGCCTTGTGACCTTGTGTTTTTTTCTTCCAATACGGGATATTTCGCGTGTGATTGTGCGCTCAAACGCGGACAAGTCGTGGCCTCTCGTGGCAATCTCTATAACGACCGAGCGCGCCATGTTCAACTTAGCCAATGGCTGATAGATGGCCTTGCACGAGTGATTTTTGAGCGTCTTCCATCATTTCTCGAGAGATTGATATGTGGGGTTTAATGTACCAAAACCACCATATGATTATGAGAGACGCCGTAGTGAAGGGCTCCGGAAATTTCAACCACCTGGGGTTTTTTAGCGTGCACCAAAATCTGAGCACACGGGCTTACAGCGTTTCCGCCTCCATCATAAAATGCAGCCAGCGTGCTGCGCTCTAAGATTTGGCTCGTGTGTTCTCGGGAGCCTCTATTGCCAATCGGCAGCATTTTTTTACTATACTCAAAAAGTGTTGCAGGGCCCCTTTAAGGAAAGCATGGTTGTAATTCACGTTGATGCTTACTAAAAAAAAATTCAACAAAATGTTTACAGTGCGCATATAACTCGCTGCGAAATCAAGAAATGTTGAAAGAAGCAATAGCGAGACGCGCGCGCCGCCATCTTCAAACATTTTTTTGCTGTGCTGGGATTAGGTTTTGAAACTAAAATTTTTGGTCCCGTGCGCCTCAAATATTCTCACATAACATATTGTTATGCACAAAGAGGACCAGGACGTACATGGCTGAAGGGGCCGTTTATTTTGGCCGCGAAGAAAAGCGCCGGATCTGCCAACAGGTTGATGATCGCAGCGTCGTCGTCTTCCCTCTTCCTCCAGCTTGGGGCGACCTGCACGTTCAGCGATCTTCGTTTTCCTTCCAGGCATGCGCAACATTCCTCCCCT